TATTAAGTTTTATGATATATGCTAATACTTGCATTTAATGAATCTGATTATCACTGATGGTTGTAACTTTTCTTTCTAACATTTCTTTTGACTAAATTAAGCTTTGTCACCATCTACAGTTTAAACATTGTATCATAATAAGCATCGTTATGTGCTATGATGATTGAGACTGTTTATCACGGATTTTTCGGCAAATCATTAAATAAATCTAGAAGAAAATACAAAATCATTAAACTAAAAGTGAGATGGCAGTGTTACTATTTTGATCGTGATAATAACAATTAGATAATGGTGATAAATATAGCATTGGAGTGAAACTAGTTGCAATAATACAAACGGCAATGGATAATAGCGATTTATAAAATAACAATGGTATTGAAAATGCATAGATTATAGATAAAATGACAGGTGTGATTGTAATAATAATGATGTTTCCGATAATGATGCTACTAACAATAATAGTGATGATATTAAGAAGGCGGAGGAGAAATAAGATTAAGACTGATAATGATAAAAGTAAAAAAAAAGAAAGTGATTTTGGTGAAGAAGACAATAGGATTAATTGTTATAGGAATGATAATGATAGGGACGATGATGATGGTGATAACAGTGATAACAGTGGTGTTGATACCAAAAATGAAAATGATGAGTGGTGATGATTCAAATAATGAAAGTGATAGCTATAAGCAAGGATGAAAGATTAAGAAAATAATTGTAGCGATGATAAAAATCATGAAAACGATAAATGCAGCGATGTTAAATGCAATGAAAATTACTATGACGATGATCATAAAAAAAGAAAAAAAAAATATCGACTGATAACGATGAAAGTGACTCGACCGACGATGAGTAAGGACAGCCATGAGTAAGAACGAGGACAAAGCCTTTACTCACTGCCGCCCCTGACGAGATCCAGCGCCTCCTTGTGCGAGCTGAGGAAGGCCCCGCGCCCCGCCTCGCGCATGTCCCGCAGCACCTTCAGTTTCGGGTGTTCCTGCGGGAGGCGGCGAAGGGGCGTGAGGATCAGGAAGGGGGAGGGGGTGGGAAGGGGGGAGGATAGGGAGGGGGGAGGGGTAGGGAGGGGATGGGGGTCTGGAAGGGGGAGAGGGAGGGAGGGGGAGATGGGAGATGGGGGTCGGGAAAGGGGTGGTAGGGAGGGGGCGAAGGGACGTGGGTTCGGAAAGGGGTGGGGGTAGGGAAGTGGGAGGGGGTAGGGTGAGGGAAGCGGCGAAGGGACGAGGTTCGGGAAGGGGGAGGGGAGAAGGTGGAATGGGGGTCGGTAGAAGAAGTGGGGGGGGGAGGGTTAGGATGAGGGAGGAATGCCGTTTGGTTGAAGACAGGTTTGTGTTTGTGGTGGATTGGATGTTTGTTTGTTATGGATATATATATAATATATATATATATATATATATATATTATATATAATATATATAATATATATATATTATATTTTTTTTTTTTTTTTTTTTTTTTTTTTCTTCTTTTTTATGTATGTGTATTTGCGTGTGTGTGTTCGTGCGTTGGTTTGCGTGTGTGTGTGGCTGTTATGTGTATCTTGTGGTTTTCGTTCGTTTGTATGAATGTGTATGTCTTTAATGGAAGAAATATTCTCTTATATCACACTTATTAAACAAACAATAATTTTATCCTTTATGAAATGAACCCAACTCGTCACCATACAAAAATCTTTCTCCTTTGAAGATAAACCCGTTTCTCCAATGCATCATATTGCCTCATAATCCATACCCATACCCGTCATGATGATACTCTCATACCCCAATACCACCATGATGATACTCCATGCCCATACCCTATACCCACCATAATGATACCCCATGCCCCATACCCTAATACCCACCATGATGATACCCCATGCCCCATACCCCAACCCTATAACCCTTCATGATGATGCCCCCATACCCCAATACCCACCATTATAATACCACATAGCCCATATCCACCATGGTGATACCCCAGACCCCACACCCACCATGATGATACCCCAACCCCACACCCACCATGATGATACCCCATACCCCACACCCACCATGATGACACCCCAGACCCATACCCACCATGATGATACCCATACCCACACCCACCATGATGATACCCCCAGACCCCACACCCACCATGATGATACCCCCAGACCCACACCCACCATGATGATACCCCATACCCACACCCACCATGATGATACCCCCATACCCCACACCCACCATGATGATACCCCCATACCCCATACCCACCATGATGATATCGGCCAGGGCGCCATCCCTAAAGGCCACCCATTTGATGTCCGGGTACTTGGCCAGATCCTCAGCCTTCTCGATGGGCAGGACGAGGCTGTTGAAGGTGAGGTAGGCAGTCAGGTTGGCCGTGTAGAAGGAAGTCACGATGGTGATGAAGAGCCACCACGTTGCGAACAGGATGCGGGACGAATCTGGGAATCGGGAAGGATTAGGGAGATAATAGGAGTTTTCTTTTTTATTTCGTAATTTTTTTCGGTAAACTGCTGTGGGGTTCGTAGGATTTTTACTTCGTGAATAACAATAATAATAAAACAAATCTCTTCCTCCCACAACACATATAACACCCATCCCCCCCCCCCCACACACATACCAACCTTCCTAAACCGTCCTACCTTAACCCCTTCGCTTCCCCCATC